CGTTTCTTCTGTCTAACGGGTCTGACTACAGGGTCAGTGTTAAGTTTATGAGTTATAAGGCCATGGTCAATACCGGGCATATCGGCCACGGACCATGCAAAAATATCTAAATTTTGAAGTAAAAAACTCACCAGTTCGGTCCGTAGGGGTTCCTCGACGGAAGTACCGACCTGGAGTGTGCGAGCTGGGTCCATAGCCGAAGTCGGGATTGCGACTGTTTCCTCTGTGGGCAAAGCTTGTTCCTCGCCTTGCTCCGCAGGCCGCTCCAGTTCAAGGTCGTCAGCTGCCTTGGTTTTTCCCTTTAGGGCGGCAACATAACACTTGCGGGACTTGAGCTAGTCGCCCTGCGCTACCCCCACACCGAAGTCCGTACGGAACTTCATGCCCAGATAGTAGGTGCCCGTAGGATATGCGTGAACGGCCGCTCTATTATGGCATTGTATGGGGAGGGGGTCGCGACCACCAGGAAATCATGGTTGAGTCTGACCGCACAAGGCCATGTGTCGACTTCCACAGGTACTGTTAYTTTTCCGAGGGGCCTGACTTCCTCTCCGCTGAAACCCACCAAGGAGTGTTCGCAGGCTTCAGTTCGCTCCTCTGTAACTGTAGCTGATCAACTGCTGATTTGAAGAGGATGTCCACCGAGCTGCCCGACGTGGGGGTAGTGGACTCCTCGCGCGTCGTCCTCCGTGAAGAGGATTGGTTCTTCGGTCTTTGGTCTCTTTGGAGGGTTCCACTCCTCGGAGGCCGCTTCGCGAACTGAAGTCCAGGCTGCTACCGAGGTACACCCTGCTACCACCGGCCCTCCCACATTGACATGGATGGTTCCCCGAACTGGCCTCTCCACCGGAGGCTGTCGCTGCAATGGTTTGGCAGGTCTGCTGCTAGATTCGGGGGCATCCTTTTCGTGCTCCCCTGGCCGATCTGCCTTATTGTTATTATTGTTGTGCTGTACAAAGTTTCTCAAGTATCCGCGACGTATGAGCCCCTCTATCTCGTCCCGGAGATTATTACACTGCTCGGTACTATGACCATGGTCTCTATGGAAACTACAATACAAATTCTTGTTTCTTTCGTTCGGATTTCCCTTTAGGCGAGGTGGCCACTTCACGTATGGGGCGTCCTTGATCGTCATTAAGATCTCGGTTCGCCTTGTGTTCAGTGGCGTGTAATCCGTACGAACTGCTAGGGGAGCTTGGAACGATTGGTTCGGCTTCGGCTCTAGGGCCGGGTTTTTCCGGTCGACTATGTTAGAGGGCTCGCCTTCCCTCTTTCTTTTCTCGTTCCCGCCCTCGATTCATTGGTTGATTTCCTCCTCTGTCCTCATGAACTTGTCCGCGAGCTTGAGGAATTCGGCCACGGTTGCGGGCTGGTTAGCTACCATGTGCCATTTGAATTCTTTGTGCGTTACCCCTCTTTTTGCCGCCGCGAGCTGCACCGCRRGGTCTAACCGCGGTATCTGCAAGCATGCTTCGTTGAATCATTTGATGTAGCCCCGTATGGATTCTCCTTCCCTCTGGACTACTCCGAAGATGCTTTCCTCTGCTCTGGGGCACCATTTGCTAGTGACAAAGTGTGCGGTGAAGACCTGCATGAACTGAGCCTAGCACTTTATCGACCCGGGGGCCAGGTTCCTGTACCAAGTGCGGGCTACCCCCCTGAGGGTGGTGGTGAAGGCCACACACATGCATGATTTGCTGGCCCTGGCGAGGTGCATTTGGGACTGGAAAGCGTCAACGTGGTCGTTGGGGTCGAAGGACCCGTCATGCTTGTCCAGAGGTGGGAGCTTGAAATCTCTGGGCAAGGGGACCGCCAGGAGTTCCGAGGCAAGGGGGGAGGGAACTGAGAGAATCGAGGCAACTCCTACCTTGTCCGAGCTCGTCTCTTCTTTGCCTCTGAGCTCTGACAGGACACGGGTGGCGGTTCGGCGACTTCGCCGGCGCCTTCGCTGTTGAGTGGGCCTTGTACTTGCGCTGCTG